TATCTATCTATCTATCTATCTATCTATCTATCTATCTATCTATCTATCTATCTATCTGACATTCCATTTCTGTGACATTCTAGAAAAGGCAAGAAGTACAATAGAATTCAAATCATCAGCCTTGAAGAGCTGGGGCTGAGGCCTGGATTGATCGGACATATTGCTGTCAGAGTGGTAAGCGACCACATATATTTTCCAAAATTCAAACAGTATATGTCCTTTTTTTAAAAAGTCAACTCTTGCAAGTTGTTTTACGTCGATAGACTGCACTTTTAAAATCGTGTTTTCAGTATAAAGCATGAATCAGGCATTACCAGTCACACTCTCCTTGCTATGCCAACTCAGAGCTGCACCCTTATCCTGATGTGCCAAGAGTAGACAAGTAAAAAAGAATATGCACAGAATAGCATTGTGGGATGCAAAAAAAAAAAAAGAAAAGAAAAAGAAAGGTCAAGATGCTAGCTGTATGTCAGAGGAACTTTCCAGAATTCACAGAAGAGAACCCAGCCACAGATGTCCAGATATGCAATGCCACACAGGGCTGAAAGACTGAGGAACCCTAGGCTGTCTGCAGTATCCTGTGGAACAGAGGCTGCAGAATGGCATATAAATTGATTACACTGGAACACAACCACCCTTGAATGGGCAAAGGAAATCTGAATGAGGCATGGCAGCTGAGTTTCTCTATGCAGAAAGCTGTTTATACTTCACTTAAGTGTGTTCTCTGCTTTCTCCACACACTCAATTTGTAATGCAAGTTTTGGTTTCTTTGCATGTTATATAAATACGCTTTTGTTTTAATCCCAAGTGTGGGATTTTAATTGGGCTCTAGTTTGTCCACACCTGTTAATTTTCACGTGTGGGGCATAATCTTTGCCAGCTGGAAACGGCCTTCCACATGCCACACGAGGAGGGTCGTGATCTAAGACTCTCGAGAGTATAAATATGAGGCCGAGAAGGAGACCATATGGCGTTCTGGAATGGTGTTCTGTGTTGGCGTGTGGCACAGAGCAGTTTGGAGAGACCAGAGACCTAGTCTCTACAGCTTAGAGCAGACAGGTGGAGAGAAACGCTTTGGGCGGCAGCATCGTGAAGGAGCCTTTTAGCTGGGTCTGCACTGATGGAGATTGGCATAGAGCCCTAACTGAACCCCTTGACTCTAAATAGCCGGGAGAAGTAAAGGGGTCTAGGCCCCTTCTACCCGCTAACCTTTCCTCTCTCCTACTTAAGGCTGGCGGGGAGTGGTTGATGGAAGAAAGGTAGAGGCCTAAAACCCCAAATAAAATAGTTAAAAAAACAAAAACAAAAAACCCACTACAGATGGCTTTTTGCTACATCAATTCCTGATTTAAAAAAGAGAGAGAGAAAAGGTAAAAATATCAGGAAGTTCAAGCAACAGCAGGTACAAGCAGCCCTGGCCTTTCCTATGAGCACATGGAAAGAAAACTGCAGGAACCACACTGCCATCTTCTGGAAGAAATGAGGACCTGCAAGGACAGAAACCACAGAGACAATTGTAAACATCCAGGGTTAGTTACTTCTAGAAAAGATTAAGGCAGGGAAAAATGACTTTCAGTTTACCGTGAATGAAAAGAAATGGGGGAGAGGGTGGCGGCAGCAAACATGATCAAACACACACTAAGCATCTGATCAGGTGAAACATGGTAGATTATGGCTAAGGTAATGGTTTTCAACCTGTGGGTCGTGACCCTTCACGGTGGTCACCTAAGACCACTGGAAAACACACGATTCACAGCAGTAGCAAAATTAGTTATGAAGTAGCAACAAAAATAATTTTATAGTTGGGGGGCAGTCACCACAACATGAAGAACTGTATTAAAGGGTGGCAGTGTTAGGAAGGCTGAGATCCACTGGTCTAAGGGATGTCTATATAAGCATTTATAACCTAACAGTTCAGAATGAACCTAACTCACAAGTTTACACCAGACACACCGACAGCCGCCACTTTTGAGAACTCAGCGTGTAAACCATTGCCCATCAGATGCAGCGGAGCTGACACTGGCGTCACGTAGGAAGGGATGAAAATAGCAACCAATAGCCCTTGCCCTTCATCCTCAACAAGGGCAAAACACTAAAACTGAAGTTCTTAAGACCCAAGGCCTTCTAACATGTTCCTAAGTTGGTGTGTTTGGGATGCCCACCCCACCCCCTTTAAAGTCAGCCGACCTTAAAAGTTTCCAAAGTTCATTCTTTATCTTTCTGGTGTGTTCAGTGGTACTGGCTTAGTGACCACATACATGGGAGAGAATACTCCATAAATGATCTACGTGTCCAGATAAAAGGAAGCTTTGGACAACTCACCCTTGAGCAGAAGAAACTGGGGATCACTTTGCCAGTTAATGTAAAATACATCAGTCCTTCCCAGCGGGGACTCCAGACCTGGCGGTGCCAAGGCGGTAACAAATAGCTCCACCTCCGAGGGGGAAATGGGCTGCCCAGCAGGAGCTTTCTTCCCTGGTGGGTTATTTATAGGGAGCTCTATTTGTTAACATGTTTCTGCGATCAGGCTGAAGGACAGCTAGTGATTTAAAGGATTTCTGGGACCATTGTTTAATGGTAACGATTTATGTACATTTGCAGATTGCAGATATATGGTGGTTTAGGTTTTTAAATTGTTGCCACCAAGATCAGGGGATTGCTGAGGCTTAGCTCAGAGGGAACAGGCAAGCAACAGTATGGCTATAAGGAAACTGCTGGAAATGCTCTTTAAAAAAAAAAAAAAAATCAGTGACCTACCATGATTCATGTCGGTAAACAAACAAATTTTCTACACTTTTAAGTTTCTACTTTTCAAAAATAAATTTAATAGGAAACAATCAATTAAATTCCAAATTACATGTGACTGATTTGAACAATCTGGAAGAATGATTGCAGTTATTTCCAATTACAAATTCATTTATAACAATGGATCTATAGAGGTCCAGTCACTGAAGAAAATTTTCACTTAATTACCAAAGGAAAACTTTTATTTGAGACAGACAACCAAGCCATCAAAGCTGGTCTTCAATTTAACCCAAAGAAAAGAAAAAGTCATTCTAAAGGATGTTTTCCAGAACAGTCTAAGCCTTCAGTGGTAAATGGGTAAACTTACAAGAAATAAAAATGCAGAAACACATTGTTAGGTCTGGAAACGAATGCTTTAACAAAAACTAAAACATACTAAGCATTTGGAAAAGACATGAAACTCACAACTCAAGTGATTTTTATTAGAAATGTACAATGCACTGAAGATGAATAGAGATGGAAGCAGCAGGGAGGAAGCTGGTACCAGGTGGAACTGAGAGCCAGTGCCAGGTGGATCTGCCATTCTTGCCTTGGTTCTTCTGTGCCCAGCCCCCTCACAGTAGTTGAGAGTTACTGAGAGAGGGTCTTCTCGCATGGTGGTTTCGTGGTACTCTCAGTATCTGTGAGTGTAGACAAACAGAAGCTCTTCCTCCTTCTGCCCGGTAGTGTGGAAGAACCAATACCCTGGCTCTCACTGCCTGAGATGGATGGCAGGCCAGCTGGGTTTTGTCCTGAGGATTTAGGCTCTTCTCTGGAGGATGTACTTTCAAATCCTCTGTCAAAGGTACAAATTGTCTTTCTCCTTTTGGTTTTCTGGGAAGTGGGAGGACTTGGAGTCAACCATATAAGCCCTTCATTTCCCAAGTCTCTCTGTAGCCTTGTGCTCCGTCTCACTTTGGCTTTCCTGCTTGTTGTCTGAAAGCTTTGCTCTATGGTGTCAGACAGATCTTCAATAAGCTGGGAACTAATTTCTACAGAGTTTCCTCCACCATTCAAAGATGCAGGGGTCCCATTTTGTTCTAGGCACAAACTCTGACCGTCCCAGTACATAGTGTGTCTTCTTGGTTTTCTTCCTCTACCACTCCTGACACTGCTGTTTTCTGCACATTTTCTCCCTACTTTCTCACTGTGGCTTGTTGATTCTTTTATATTTTTAACTAGGATATCTTCTGAACAATTATGTTCCTTTTCTGAGTCAGCTGTGAAAGGGCTGCATTGCAGATTTCCCTTTGGAGCTAGGCATTCACTCTCTTTCTCACACTTTATATTCATATTTTCTGAAACCGGAAGGACCTCACAAGGAACTTCTGCATTTTCACCACCCTTGAAAACATCCTGGCACTGAGGGCTACCCAGAGGCTTTGGATTACTGGACAGTATGCATCCTTGAGTCACAGAAGCACAAGGCACAAGGCTGCTTTCAGTCTTGGTCTCGATTTTTGGCTCCTTTGTGCTTTCTATTCTGGTGCTACCATCGCTGCCTAGGTCCCTGGTACTGGCCTTTGGTCTTCCCTCAGAAGCAGCAGTGAAAGGCTCAGACACTTGAGACTGATCAAAAGCTGAATCCAGCTCCGGTGAATCTCCCTTCTGTGGCAAAAGTCTCCTTCTTTTCATGGGAATTTCAAGAGAGATGAGTTCTTCCAGGTCACCACTGAGGTTGAAGTCATCTATGGGGACAGAAACACACTTAAATTCAATTACAAAGAAACACCGCAATGCCTATTAAATAAGCAAACGTGCTCTATGGCTTTTTAGCTTTCAGAACTTACACAACCTACAATCATCACATTGTTCTTGCTCTCATCTGTCATTCTTTGTCCCTCTTACTGCCCCAGTCCATAGGTTAAGAAAACAAGTGTTCAACACATGAATTAATAAAGCACACAACTTCAGAGTAGGAAAATGAGACTGCTGTCTTAAACAGTTTCCTTTTCTCTAATGCACTTCCCATATTCCAAGGTCCAATAGTGTGAGACATTTCCTATTTACCTGAAAAAAAAATGCATATCATACTTTTCAAATTCTTCTATCACTGTCTTCTTGCAACAAGGTAATAAAAATCAGAATTCTGGGGTACTTGAGACATGGCAGTGCATAGCTGGAGTGCAGAGCTGTCATCACGTCTTCTATGAATTCCCATATAATATACTGTAGAGAAAACTATGGCTACAATCTCAAAGTCCAGCCCCTGACCCCCTTTTTGACTAAATAAGCCTTGTCCTCCAGGCAAAAAACATCACATACAGGTTTCTGTAAGTTTGTAATACTTCGTAGGTAGGAAAACCACTAGTAAGGTTTGAGACTGACAAGGAATATGCCCCAGAGCAGTGGTTCTCACCTTCCTAATACTGTGACCCTTTAATAACAGTTCCCCATGGTGTGGTGATCCCAACCATAAAATATTTTTGTTGCTACTTCACAACTGTAATTTTGCTACTGTTATGAATCATAATACCAATATCTGTTTTCCGATAGTCTTAGGTAACCTCTGTGAAAGGGTCAGTTGTGACTCACAGAGAACCACTGTTCTAGGGGAATTCAGTTCTTATGATTCTAAATCAATGCTATTAGATTTTCTCTCTCCTATTATCCAAGATAATGTTTTTAATTGGTCATTCAAGTGAATATAAAAGGTGTTTTATTGTAGATGAAAAACACTTTAGGCAGTCAAAGTATTTGCCTGCAATGAAGGTAGTAACAGTTTAATAGATCAGCAGAACCAAGGCCAGACTAACCAAGAGGTAGAAATGACAGACCTCTCATTCCAAGGCACTCCACATGAGGGCAGGAGGGAAAGAAAATGCACATGGAATGAGTTATTCTGAGTAGCTGTTAAATTCTAGGTCTGTCCTCAAGTTGAGATGGCTGTAGAAGCCAGAGTCTATGTTGACATAAGGATCACTCATCTTGAATTTAAAGAAAGCAGGCTAAGATTATGTGACATCGGACAAAGGTAACTTTAACATGGGCATGTACAAAATCAACATGCTAAATGGAGGCACTTTTTAAAAAACAGTTTGAGCATGAAAACTCAGTTTAAAATTAGACATTCTAGGGGCTAGAGAGATGGCTCAATGGTTAAGAACATCTACTGTTCTCGCAGAGGATGTGGGTTTGGTTTCTAGCACCCCATTCACAGCTTGCAATCAACTGTATCCTCAGTTCTGTGATCTGATGCCTTCTTCTGGCCACAGCAGGCACCAGGCATGCATATGGCACACATACATATATGCAGGCAAAACACTCATCCACAGAAGATGAGTAAATCTTAGGATATAATCAATTTGGTCTTTGCTTTTTAAAGTACTTTTCAAAGTAATCAAGCTCAATTTATAAACGTTTCTAGATTATAATCCTAAGGAAATGTTATGAGGCAAGTTTCTCTGTTTTCCTATTTCTGTTGTTAACTCCTCAGCTGTATATATTAGGAAGTGATCACCTTATCCATTTTCTGTGACAAGTCACACAACCAAACCTAATTCATTGTAATAAAGTGCTTTAAGGAGCAAAAAAAATAGGTGAACAGACATAATCTCCCCTCCAATTACATGCACATTTTGTGTCTGGATTTTTTTCTTTTTTCTTGATAAAAATGATGAGTTTCATCAGTTTCTGAAAGAGTCTAAGCCCCCCCCCCCCCCCCAGGTTACAGACTATAATTTCCTTTACTAATAACAAATTCAGTCTTTTTAAAATAAAAAATGAATGGGAAAATGGAAGAGAAAAAGAGTGAGGTGGTAACAAAGAGGGTGAAAGAGGGAATAAGCTGGAGGCCCGAGAGAGAAGCACCTGAACATGTCTTCTGCATGCAGTCACTCAGAGGAGTCATTTCAAAGACCTCAGGCAGCTCAGATATAGGGCTCAGGAGCGGCTTCTTTGACGCGATCTCTCTTTGCCCGTATAAGCTTTTCTCCACACCTTTCCCCCCCTTTCTTCTCTTTTTCCTGTAACTTTTTGAAACCTGAAAAGATATGTATTAGGACATTGTAACTTGAGAATGAAGTAGTATCACGTTAGATCCAGGCCCTTTCATGTCTAAAATATCTCTGCTTATCATTTATTCAGTTAATTTTTTTAAAGTTTGTATTTTTTTTAAACAGAAAAACTTAAAATCAGTTATTCCATTTAAAAAAAAAAAATCAAGCTCAAATGCCAGAAAGGTAATTCATATAAAGTCAGATAAAACATGAATCCAAACTCAATAAGGTACAGACTTCATGTTCACTGAGAATTTGCTAAAGTGACAGAATAGATTGCTGCAGCGTTAGATAAAGCTAATTAATGAGATTATTTGTAAGTAGGCTTGATAACCCAAGATTAATCTAGCATGGAGAGGCTGAAGAGATGGCTCAGTGGTTAAGAGTCCTTGCTGCTCTTCTCGAGTACCTGACTTCAATTCCCAGAACCCACGGTGGCCCACAACTGTCGTAACTCTAGTCCCAGGGGGTCCAGTGACCCCAGGCACACATGTGGTCATACACACAGGCAGAATGTTTATATATAAAGTAAAATTTTAAAAAAGGTTAATCTAGCATGAATTATCTACTGAAGTGCTATGGGGAGGGCTGCTTTCTGTTCATAAACTGGGTTGAAAAGACCACAGGTGCTTAGATAACATTGAAAGGAAACATAAATCTGGATGAACTTATGCAAACAATAAATGAATTAAACATGACTAAAATAAAGCGGTCACACAGGTTTTCGTTATAGCTCAGTGGAAGAGCACTTGCCCAGCATGCACAAGGCTCTAGGTTTGAGCTCTAGCACTGTAAAAAAGGCAACGATAAGACAGCTGACTTCTAAAAATGTGAATATCTGCAAAAACTTTAAAAAGTGTTTTAAAAATTTATGGAATGCAGGATTATATTTAATTCTGAATGCCCTACCAGCACTGAGAAATACTTTTGTTTAAAAATGTTCCGTATGAAAAAAAAACTTAAGGGAAATTAAAACATTATACTGAAACTCAAGAAAGACTCTTACTAACAGAAGAAACAAAAGATACTCTCAGACCTTCAACATAAACCATGTTTGACAATACTTCCAGAAAGTGAATCCGTCGTAATACTTATGAAGGTAAAGCCAGCTGATAACATGAGCGCTGTGAGAATGAAAAGTAAACAGGATGTGGTCTTTAAGGATCCTGGCTTCAGAGCAGTCTCCACATGAGGACACCATGACAGACTCCAGGCACACAGAGAAGAGAGCATGCTGCTGACAGGCATTCAAGACAAAATGCACGGAAAGCACAAGGTTTCACTCTAATCTAGGGACAACTGTTCTGGCAGTGGAGCAAAAGAACCTGTATTTGCAGGTACTCCACACAGACCACAGGTGGCGGCTGGCACATTCAGGCCCAGGATCCACGCAGGAAGAGCAGTGAACACAGGCCTTGTATAATACAGTGAATCCTGTAAAAGCAGTATTTCCTGCATGCTAAGGCAAACACACCTGTGAACTTATGCTGAAGAAACAGCCTACGAGATTTAGGTGAAATCAATGGTATAAAGGAATGGATGAAATTCAAGAACACAGAAGTGGTACAGAATGGAGTGTTCCTGGAGATATCTATAGATAACTTGTAAAAACAAAACCAAACACAACATTCCATGCAAAAATAATTTTAGAATGCTACAAGATAAATGTTCCCCTTGGTGATACACAATATACATTTAACATAATTTGGTGAGAAACTCTCAGCATAAATAATCTCTGTGCACATAAAGTGCTGGGTTAAATATTTTTTCCATTAAACTTTTTATGGAACATCTGTTGACGTTTCATGGACTAGATGAGGAAATGCTGGCTTGGTCAGTGGATATAGAAGCCAAGAGAAAAGAAATATTTTAAGGTGGGGTTCACAGATGTGTTGCAGAAGAGAAACATTTGGCCTCTGGGTTCAAAATCTATCTTTTAACTGCCAAGTAATGTCAACCCCATTGTCCTCCTCTGCAGAATGGAAGTCACAGCAGGGCACCCCACATAAAACTAGTGCCAGGCCTAGCCAGGAAGCTTTCGGTGGATGTTGGGGGGGGGGGGGGGATCAGGTTTTTTCAAGGGACAGTGGGTTTGTGAACCACGAGGCAGGCCTCATGCTCAGATGCACAACATAATCAGACTCTGTTTTAGTGGCTTTTTTTCTTTTCTTCCTTTTTTTCTGTTGTTGGCTTTTGTTGTGTTTTGTTTTTGTTTATTTGTTTGGGTTTTGAGACAGGGTTTCTCTGTGTAGCCTTGGCTTTCTGGACTCACTTTGTAGATCAGGCTGGCCTCACAGTGATCCACCTGCCTCTGCCTCCCAAAGTGCTGGGATTACAGGTGTGTGCCCAGCTCCTTTTATTTTTATTTATTTATTTTTTTGAGAGAAATTTTCTCAAAGAATAAATAATAAAAGCAGCTCAAATGTGAATTGGTTAGTACAGGGCTTGACCAATACCCAGAGCTAGGTGCTGGCTATTCTAATTCTTCTGAACTTCTTCCTATTACTTTGAGAGAGGAAAAATACTGTAAGGAAATTTTAAATTATTAAATAAAAGTATCCATGGTTTACAATGTTTTGATAATATATACTCTACGGAATTGCTCCATCAAGCTAATTAGCCTCTCATGACCTCACATATTTTTAAAATATGAATGTTAAGGAAAATGAACTGTGCTGACCTTGCCTAAGATCTGCTAAGTGTGAACATGCTGGACCTTACTGTGGGTCTTGCCTTCCCTGGGCTGTTAGTCCTGGGTTCCATAAGAAAGCAGGCTGAACAAGCTATGAGGCGCAAGCCAGTAAGCAGCACCCCATGGCTTCTGCATCAGCACCTGCCTCCAGGTTCCAGGCCTGACTTCCTTCATCATTGAACAGTGATACGGAAGTCTGAGCCAAATAAACCTTTTCCTTTCCAAGTTGCTTTTTGGTCTTGGTGATTTATCACAATAGAAAACATAACTAAGACATGTAGGCCTTATTCAAGGACTAAAATTCTGTATTATGGTCATGAGCTAATACACCAACAAAATGATAAGATGTCTGTCCTAACAGTGCATCTAAGCAGTACTCTTAACAATAAGGAGATCTGATCAGGAGGCCTAAAAATGGTCCCAAACTGGAGTTATACTTGAGTTTAAAAAAACCAAAAAACAAAAACAAAAAAACCCCTTCCTTATAGTACAGTCGTTCTAGACACTTGTAGCCCTAGGGGAAAGCCACATGACCTGGAAATGGTAAGGTTGGTTCAGGTCTGGAGTGAATGGAAGACAACTGAAGGACCTTGCCCCTCCTTGTATTCCACTTCTTTCCAAATCAGGTATTTCTCACAAAGGGCAGAAGGTAAAAACAAATGTTTTTCTTTTTCTTCAGTCATGTAATAAAGACATCCTTAAAATACTTTAAAAGAAAAAAATGGTCTTGAAGTTATCTAAAAATAGGTCAGAGGAGGGGGCAGACGAGATGGCTTAACCCGTGATTAAGGGCACGACGGGCTGCTCTTGCAGAAGACCAGAGTGTGATTCCCAGCTCTCACATGGCGGTTCACTACTGTCACTCTAGTTCCAGGAGACTGCACTCCCTCTTCTCGGCTGAGGGCACAAGTCACACAAGTGGTCCACACACAGATGAATCCATACACATTCAAGACAAAACAAAACAAAACATGTGTTGCATATGCTTATAGTCCCACCACAAAAAAAGGCTGAGGCAGGAGGACTGCTGGAGCTCGGGAGTCCAATGCTGGCCCAGGCAACATAAAATACTGTCTCAAAAACAAACAAAAAACCCAAACAACCCCTTAAGATTAAATACAGTCTTGGCACATGTCAGCCTATAAAGCTGTATGTTGAAGATAAAACAATAAAGCTCTGACATGGACATGGTTCCAATGTTGCAATTTAGTTCTTGTACTCATCCCCCCATTCAAAACACGCTGCTGCTATATTTTTAACTTTAAATACCTCATAATAGAGAATCTTATACTGAATCGCATATACCTACTAAACAACTTCAGCAATTATAAACATACAAATTAGGTTTAATTTATAATCTCCTTCCCTTAGATTTTTTAAAAAAGATTTATTCATTTATCTATTTTTTTTTTTTTTTTACAGTATTCTGCCTGCATATGTGCCTGCATGCCAGAAGAGGGCACCAGATCACTCATAGATGGTTGTGAGTCACCATGTGGTTGCTGGCAACTGAACTCAGGACCTTCGGGAGAACAGCCAGTACTCTTAACCTCTGAGCCATCTCTCCAATCCCTTCCCTTAGATTTTAAGGCATATCCTAACTATTGGATCATTTCACTTGAAAGAAATCTGCCATGTATCCAGATTTAATATGGTTTGTTAAATAATTATAAATAAAATGCAATAAAAGGAAAGTATTAATATATATGTAACCCCGAAAAAACAGAATTATGCTGAGTTAAAAGTCAGTCTCCAAAACCATAATGTATGCCTCTTATTTATACAATCTTAGATACAGCTACAAAAAGACAACAAAAGAGAAAGAAGTGTCAATAAGACGTTCACACACTGGCTGTGCTTTTATTTTATTAGTTTTGCCAAGAGTCCTCATTAGGGAAAACTGAACAAAAAGGTCCTTGGGATCCTTCCTTATTTCTTACAAGAGCATGTTTCTAAAACTGATCTCAAAAGTTAAGTATCCACAACTCAGCAGTTTCCTGTCTCCTTAATTTGAACTTCTCTAGCTGGTGAGCACACACCCTTACAGTTGCTCAATTCAGGTCCCAATCAAGTTTCAAATACACCTACTTAGTTGGTAAAGCTCTTACGTTTCCCTTCTCTGGAGTTTTATTTTGGGAGTGATGATGGAGGGACCTTAAAAAAAAATAACACTTATCCATGAGTAATTCTCCTGGCTGAAGTCTGGCTTTAGACAGCTGTAGTGATGGTGTCTACAGTCACAAGAAGCCCAAAGTCTGGTTAGACTAAGTTTAGGCAAACATTAACAGGCAC